AGGGATCTCGCAGTGATCCCACCAACTTCCGCCCTGTTACACTTCTTCCGATATTTTCGAAAGTCATGGAAGCTATTGTGGCAGATCTGTTGATAGAATATCTGGAGAAGCATTAGCGTTTGTCTGCAACTCAGCACGGATTTCGGCACAAGCTTTCGTGCACCACAAATCTACCACCTGCACGGGATGAATGGACAAAATCCGTCGATGCAGGCCAGCCATTGGATATAATTTATTTGGACTTCTACAAGGTATTTGATCGAGTAAACCACCAAGTACTGGTGGGAAAACTCTGCAACTACGGTATAAGAGTTTTAGTTCTGGACTTGATCAAAGAGTTTCTCCGATAAAGGACCATGTCAGTTCGCGTTGGTGATTCATTATCAGAGCCTATCACCGCTACCCGNTTGGATACAGTTTATTTGGACTTCTCCAAGGCATTTGATCGAGTAAACCACCAAGTACTGCTGCGAAAGCTCTACAACTACGGAGTAAGAGGTTTTGTTCTGGACTGAATCAAAGAGTTTCTCCGACAAAGGACTATGTCAGTTCGTGTTGGTGATTCATTATCAGAGCCTATCACCGCTACCCGGGGGGTTATTCAAGGCTTTGTATTGGGGCCTCGTCTTTTTCTTGCATTTATAAACGACTTGTCACAGTCCTTGGGCCTAATACACTGCTGTTTCCGGACGACGCTAAGATCTTGAGAACTGTAACACATCCAGAGGATCATATAGCACTCCAACAAGCGATCGACGCAGCCCACCGATGGTCAATCGCCAATGACATCGAGTTCACCGTTTCCAAATGCAGAGTTATTTTCATGCGGCGTAAGACCCGTTTCTCCTATATTCTGGGGAACCAAATACTGTCGCATGCCACTGATGAAAGGGATTTGGGAGTTATGGTACGGGAGGACGCAGGATGTTCCGCGCACTGTGCTCGAGCATCATCTATGGCTCTGTAGCAAGTTGGACTACTCAGACGTGTTTTCGGGCAGTTCGAAAGGGCACTGTTCCCACACTTGCTATCAGCATTCGTTCGGCCACACACGAAGTACACCGTTCAAGTATGGAATCCATGGTTAAACCGCTACACAAAAGCTCTAGAACGTCCGCCAAGTCTGGCAAAGAAATTGGTAAAAGGTCTGTATAGCAAGATATACTCCGAAAGACTGCAAAAATTGGGACTTTAGTTATCTCAATACCGCCGACTGTGGGTGGGGGGAACCTAATCTTGGCATATCACATACTGCATCAACCCAACCACCCTTGCCGTTTTCTGTTGACTTTATCTCATAATGATCATTTCGGGGGACATCTACTAAGTGAAGACCCAGAACAGCCACCTTGATTGCCGACGTCACTCCTTTGCAGTCAGAGTTTGCGGCGGATGGAATTATCTTCCATCTGATGTAGTATGTGCTCCTACAGTTGAACTATTTAAATCGCAACTTGATAAAGCATTGGAACACTGGAAATTTCGACATCCGTGAGTGATCATGCACATTATTATCATTGTCATTTTCTCTTTGTGAAGTTATTCAAAAGATTCTGTTAAAATCCTTTGGGGCATGGTAAGCTTTAGCTTTCTTAAATCGCCCATATTATAACTTTGACTAAGCTAAGAAGTACTGGACAGCTGTTTCTACCCGGCTGGTTCTAATCAGTAATGCGAATCCATCAACCCAACTGGTCATCTAATCCGGAACTTCACTGTTAGAACGCAACCATAGTGACCACTCGACCACCAGGTAGGTGATCCGAATACTTCTTTCATTTTACCCATACACTACACAGCACGACCCATCTTTGTGGGCTTAATGCGAGCATCACACCTCGAGTATCCCCCTCCGGGGGTTATGACTCGGTCTGAAACTTACACAACCCGTCTCTATTGGTTGCTTAATAATAATGAAGGGTTGATCGCATTTTTATCATATATTATTTTGGTATATTATTATATATTACTATTTGATATTATATATCATATATAATCTGTTATTATAATATAATATTATTATGTATTATGCTATCATATTATTTTGTTGTCGTATGCTGTTCACGTATTCTCAAGCAGAAGATACTATCTTTTATTCCCAGGACGAAAGAAAATTAATATTTGTAGAGAAACGAAATCGTGCCTTGTAAACTGTGTGCATCAGTCGACTGTTATTGGTATCCTTTCAATGAGCAGATAGTTCTGTTGAGCATTTGAACATTTCATGGTGTGAGATGTCACGAAGATAAGATGGAAATTGCTCTTTCCTGGTTCGTCTTGGGAGAATAGAATACAGGGTACGATTTGGATCACAAGGTTCTATAAAAGATCTCATCATGTGTATTCCAAGATTTGACCCATCCAAAATAATCCTCAGAACAATGTGTTGACACAATTTTTAAGTCGTTTGCGAGAGGCATGTGATCTTATACGGAATCAAGTAAGATAAGTTGATGAAGGGATATTATCTATTTCCCAACAAAAGCTATTAAGCTTGTGTAGTCTAAACGGTAAACGATATGGTTCGTCTGCGCATATATGAACCAACACTGGCAATTTTCACTCCGGTTTAGTGATCAAAGTCCATATTTAGTGCAAATGTACTCGGGAATAGTTTATTCCGAAACGCGTTTGTGTGGAATAAATACCAAATAAACTATCGCTGAAAAATACAGTCCGTGTTCTCTATCTCAATTCGTGCATATGCTATCACTGCAGTAGTTTAGTGCAACTTATCATGACCAGTAGCTTTACTTGATCGTTTCAGTTATTTTGGTAAGTTTTTTCGGTATTGTCACCTGTTCTAACCGTAAAAATTCCGATTTCCAGCTCAGTCCATGGTACTGTTTCGTTTTGTTGAATTCAGATACTACTAATCATGAGTTATAATAATTGATGTTAACGTGCTTTCTACTACAAAATTTATCATTCTATGAAAAGTTCCCATTTATATTAGTTGCATCTGGAATACTTTGAAATTTCCAGCAAACAATGATCAATAATGATTAATCAACTGTAATGCTCTGCTACCAGGTAAAAGATCGCGTAAAAGTATTTAAAACATCAGAAACATTGAAAACAAAGTCCATTAGGCCAAACAAGCTGTTTCTTCGATAAATTCATCAACGGTCCATTACAATTATATAGGTTATTTTGGGTTCGTTGGTCTCGTTTTGATTGCATCAAACTAGGTACAGAACGTATTAGAAACAGCAAAACAGTACACTCAGAACACCCTGCAGAAAGGCCTAACTCAACAGCGGTCTAGTTTTCTACATCCGTAATCGATGGAATCCATCCTACTTTATTTGCACATAATTGTATCGAATTGAGTCAGTTAACGCAACGCTGCAAACTGTCGTTCACGGTACAATGTTGGACGCTTGATAATTGATGGGACACATAATTACGGGAGATTTCAGCTAATCCCTCAAGACTAGCACGAAATGTATGCAACACCTTGGAAATGAATTGCAAGTTGAACTTTCAACAGAATCTCGAGTTAGAAAACTGTAAAACAAATGAGTGATGAAAACAATTAAAAAGAATTAGGCCTTGAATTATCTGCTAGAACAATTAGTAATTTCATTTGTCTGGCGATGCATCCACATACGATACCGAAGTTCCACATCGTTTTCGAAATAACTAACCGGAGGGTGTTTTCGGGGACTAAAACAAGTCCCTCTGTACTGTAAGAATCAGAGTGGTGTGGTCAATCGGTTCGATTCGCCTGCACCAGTGTGCCTTTAGCCCTGTTGTCCGCCGTTCGAGCTTAGTCATTACCGCCTGTCTTTGGTTGTAGGCATCTTTGTTATCGTCGGACCCAATACCGCACCCAACCTAGAATGACATTTATGTGCTTTGTCACTCTGAATCCTGGGGCTTAGGTCGCCGGTTTCCATGACTGAACAGTAGGTTCCTGTGACAGAGGTTTTCCCCATCTCCTGTTTGTCACACAAAAATGCGAAATTAAAACTTTTTTCAGTGGGTTCGTCTTGTTATCTAATTTACCTTCAGTGCATGTGGATTTACGGAGGTTCAACACCATGCTTTGTCGCTCGGTAATCAGATGAGCTTATCACGTTGGTTATGTCATGTGGTGTTCAATAGCTTGTGATCAAAGGTTGAGGGTCTGAAAATCAGCAAGACGAAGTAACCCAACATTAATAAACCTAATATGCCAACGGAATTCTAATTTGGAGTAACATTATCATTGATCTAATCTTTTCCAGTTTGGCATACTCTTATCATTCCTTTTTCCGTGTCAGTGATTTCGGATTACTCTGCGAAAGAATACCGCATAGTATTTCATTTGTTTCCTGTTCTCGTTCAGGGGAGTGACCACCGTGTCCGTGCGAATGTTGCAACTTGATATCAATCAATGCCCACAATCATTCTATACACCCAACTTCTTCAAGAACACGGCCAGATGCGACTTTACGTCCACCTATGTGAGTGCTTTTCAACAAATCTTCTAGAGGTTTTTCCTCTTTGTTCCCATCATTTTATAAGGTGAGGATCGTGAGTCAAGTGATTCCCTTGTTGGAAAAATTGGACTGTGTTTACCCTTAGATGTAATTGGATCCCACGTTTTTTTATATTGAACGCCTGTTTTAAGATCACATGATCTATTCAATCATCGTTAGCGATACCCTGCGGGAATATTCTCCGACATAGTATCATTGGAGTGGGAACTACTTCGAGCTTTTTCGAAGCGCAACAATTTAGCGTTCTTTCGGAGTAATAGAGCAGCATGGTTATTCAGCTCACCGACCAACCTGTGATAGGAAAACAAAATAGAGTTAACACTAAACTATTGTAAAATTATTGATGACATGCTGTATGCACAGGATTCGGTATGAGAATGTAGGTATTCGTGTGCTCACTTGTATTTTTTTAACAACAACTTGGTGTGGTAAGCAATAGACTTTGCGAATCCTATGGTTACCCGAGCTAAGTGTTCAACTGTTGGAAGCGCCAATGAACTTCGTTCTTTAAACAAACTGCAAAGTCTTCCACTTTCTTCTTACTCACATTTGTTGAAGTGACTTGAGATTCGTCATGGAATTTGCTTGTTTATTTGACCTAATCAGTTTTGTCACCGTTAATCACACTATGCTTTGTACTAACAGCAAGTATTTTTACCCGCTCATTCGTAGTGCACAGCCTTGCCCAGACGTTATTTTGTGGCAGGGAGTTACAAATGTGAATGCCGTCAAGGCTATGAATATCCATTCAACGATCGCACATGGTATTTCCATGGTGAGATGATGGAGCGAGAATACCAGCTGAAGCTGGCTGGCGAACCCAACCGGTTTGATTTGCTTCGATGCCGTCAAGGCTTGGCATCTACTTTACATTTTGGGAAATTGTGGACGCTGCTTTTACCGCTTAGTTTGAGGTTGTTTACATCTTCGGCTTGAGACACTGTCATCCGTCTTCCACCCCCACCCATTGTTCTAGCATCGACAAAATCATTTCATGGTGCCCCCTATTTGACCTATTTGTGTACGTTTTATACTGTCTAGCCGTTTGACTCCGGTCTTACCCAGTGTGTATGTGCCTTGTTCTCATGCGCTTCCAGAACAGAAAACTTTCTAGTCGCCTAGGTATTTTGAGACGTTTTCTGTTGTTGACCACAGCCAGGGATCAACGTCGCTTCTGCCTTCGCTACTTGCTCAACGTGCTTGGCCCTTGCATTTATACGCTAATCTATTCTTTTGCAACATTCCGACCTAATATCTGTCTTTTTGTATCTTTTCATCATGGTGTCATATGAGAGGTTAATATTACAATTCATCTTAACAATGTCTTCATCTTCAGTAACTAGTAACTATGGCGGGTCTAGGAAAATCTATTTTTTCACAAATAGCTGTTACTCAAGCAATGCACAAATCACAATGCCAAAATCAGCTTAGAAAAGCCGTACATAGAAATACCTACAGGCACCAACGTATTGAAAAGATTTCGGCGACTGTTGGTTCGTAGTTCATGCGTGATTAGAAGTGTGCTATAGATGGGGTCTCTCGCCGACACGGCGAGAAGTAAGGTTTCTCTTTCTCTCTGTTTGCAGATAGGCGAACAAACCGATCGTTTGAAAAAGTGGATGCACACTCGTGAACACATCACCGAAGGAATTCTGGACGCTTCGTTGGCTTGTGTCCACTACCAGTCCTGTGCAACCTGACTTAACCTGTTTAGCACACCAATTAGGGCCGAAGTAAACACACCTCTATGAGTTCGAGCAATCGGGCTTATAGAACGTTTCCCAGGGCAAGCGCGAATTAAGAAGGAAGTCGGATACGAGCGAATGTAGTGTAATGTGACCTGCGGTGGAAGGTGTATAGAGAGCAGTGCACGATGAAACTCACCGGAAACTGTGCCCGGTTCGAGGTCATGTTGTTATATTCCGAAAAGACGTTGCTGGTCGAGGAGAGTTCTTTATTGCAGAATACAGATGGAGGGTCACTAATTTTGGATGCATAACACGAAAAGCTCATCAGAAACATGCCTTCGCAGCACATCGCGACACATGGGGCAATGGGTATAGCAAGCAGTGTTTATTCTTCCCAAATATATTACTTGGTCCTGGATGGTCTTGTTCTATTTTTAATCATTGAAAGTTACCGACTACTCACAAGTGAGTAGTATCTCACAACAATGTGAGTTCTCGAAAAGGAGGGCAATAAAACAAAATAGGGTCTTTACATGTGTCAAGGGAATGGTGTTGGGACATGAAAATATTGTCACTACACAGCTCCCCCCCTAGAAGGTTGGAGAGGAGCGACAAACCTTCGAATAGTCAAATGAACACTGTATATGTGTAGGTAACGCGACGGAGTGTGGAGTATACGAGGATCCAATAATCAACTATTCCGTGGCAATTGGCGTGGGAAAATGGTTAACACATGTACGTGTGTGTGGATGTCATGTAAACGATGCGGGATGCACAAATTCAAAAGCTCGGGACNGCCGGACGGTGCCATCTGCACAAACGTTCTGGTGCTACTGCGGCAGCTGACAGGAAAACGCCGTCTTTGTTGAAGGGAATAAAGAATGCCCTGAATGTGGTACGTGCGCTGAATAGAAGACGTCAAGGGGGACTGCAGGACACAGGATGGTTCGCTCGTACCTCCATTATCACCGACACAATGGTGTATCTTCTGCCGGGTGTGTGGGGCCGTCCACGCGGGTTGCCTGGTCAATAAAAAAACTGGCCGGGGCAAACCCGAAAAAAGACCCGGCCGGCCAAAACCCGAAAGGCGTCCGACGGTGGAATAGAAGTGGCCTCTTCTCCCCACTCCTCGCGTCCGCGCTCCCCGGTAAGGACCGTCGTTCCAGGAAGTGCGATCGTCCGATGAGCACATTCGTTGGCGTTACCCTGGAAGAGAAGGGGAAACGACTAGCCTAACAGCACCACGGCTGTTGGTAGAAAGGTGGAGAAATGAGCATGGCCAAACCACAAAAACATACGAAGCATTTTTGGAGTTTCGAATTTTTTCGTATTTAGGGTTTTGGAGATTTTTTTTATTTTCCGTTTAACGTACAAAGAAATAATAAAAATACGGGGGCATCTGCGGGGTATTTGGGGTCTGGGATGGAACGCCAGTAGGAGGTGAGGGCCTCGGCGCTGGGTGGAGCATGGGGATCCTGTTTGACGTCGCTCTCTAGGAAAGCTGGTTTGAGCCGATCTAAACTAACGGTTTCCCTCCGGCCGTTAACATCGATGACGGCCGTCTTATCCTTACGGGTGATGACCCTATGCTGGCCGGTATAGGGAGCTTGTAACGGCGCGCGCGTGCTATCCACGCGGAGGAAAACATGCGTACAAGACGAGAGGTCTTTGGGTACATACACGGGAGTGACCTGCTGTCGCGTGGATGCGGCATGGACCTCACGCATGTGGTGGCTGAGACGTTTAGCGAAGTCGGCATAGCTGAAGTTGTGCATCGGGGTTGGCGCGACGAATTCCCCGGGTAGGCGTAGTAAGCAGCCGAACGCTACAGCGGCCGGTGTAGTGTGCAAGTCGGCCTTGATCGTGTTCCGAATGCCCAAGAGGACAAGCGGAACGGCCCCAGGCCAAGTAGAACGGGAGTGTGTTTTGAGGGCTGCTTTGAGCTGGCGGTGGAACCGTTCAACCAAACCGTTAGCTGAGGAGTGGTATGCCGTATTCCTGGAGTGACTACAACCCAATAGACTCAGTAGGGACTTAAATGCTCCCTCAAAATGGGAACCTCTATTGGTGGTGACGCTCACGGGGCAGTCGTATGTCGCGACCCAACGCTCGAGGAACGCCTTAGCAATAGTTTCGGAGGAGCAGTTGAAAAGGGGATTGCCTCGGACCAACGCGAGAATCGGCCTACACAAGTCAAGAGGTATATGAAACCTGCTGATGGCGGCAGAGGGCCAACCAGGTCGACGTGCAGGTGTTGGAAACAAGCAGTCGGAGAGTCAAAAACGCCTAACGGGGTTTTAGTGTGACGAGGGACCGTATTTCGTTGATATTGCAAACATGTGCGGGGCCAAAGGGATATGTAGCGATTCATGCTGGGCCAGACGAACCGTTCGGTGACGAGCTTAAACGATGCACGAATACCGGGGTGCAACACATTGTGCAAGGTGGTGAAGACCTGTAGTGACCATGATTGTACGAAGAAAAGGAGCAATCCACGAGGACGTTATCCGTTCATCTTCTTCACAATCAACTCTGACTCCAACTGTGATACTTCTTTGTTTTACTTCTGTTTGTTTTACCGAGCACGGTTTTCCGCTCATGTGTATATATAAGCTGGGTCTCGTTCAAACCCACGCAACACGCGGGACACGCTTTCGCTTTGCTACTGCATTTATCGCTTGCATTGTTTAGCGTCACCTAGGCACGTTTCCGTACTACCTAGTACCACGATTCGCCAATATACGTCTACGACTGCCACGAGTGTTTTTGTCTACCTCGGATAAGGAGACGCTAGGAGGTCGCGCGCACTTTGAGAATCGTAAGTAGACTTACAGGCAGGCCATCAACTCCGGTTAGCTTCAGACCTGCTTCCTAAAGGGTTGTGGCACTAACGGGCGAGGGTGCCTTTAGAACCATCGCACCAGATGTTGAATTTGTTTGTGGTTGTTGATCGAGTTGTAACAAATGCTTCGGCATCAATT